AAATAAATAAATAAATAAATAGGTGAACTACAACTTCAAAACTGAACATCAGTGCCCACCAATTGTTGTTTGTTTGTTAAGTTTCTCATGGTCATAGGAGTTCTGTTCTATAGTTGGTGGAGTTGAGAATGCTTTTTTATTGTAGTTTAACTATAAATCCCAGCAACTACAACTCCCAAATGACAAAATCAGTCCCCCCAACCTCACCAGTATTCAAATTTGGGAGTATAATTTGTGCCAAATTTGGTCCAGTGAACGAAAATACATCCTGCGTATCAGATATTTACATTACAATTCATAACAATAGCAAAATTACAGTTCTGAAGTAGCAACGAAAATACTGTTATGGTTGGGGGTCATCACAACATAAGGAACTGTATTAAGGGGTCCCAGCATTAGGAAGGTTGAAAAACACTGTTCTAAGTGAAGGGGGAAAGTGTCATCCTCCTAAGCTTTTTGTGGTTTATTAGAGGAATTGAAGAATGTGCTAAGCTTTCCTTCACTTTCATGGAGGTTTGGCTAAGATAAGAAACAATGAGAAAAATTAATTTCATTTTCTCCCTTCTCCAAATTGAGTAAGTGAGAGAGGTGCTGTTGGGCTTGGCCTCATGTAAGCTGCTCCGAGTCCCTTGGGGAGATGGTAATGGGGTATAAATAAAGTTTTATTTTATATTATTATTATTATTATTATTATTATTATTATTATTATTATTCTTTGAATCTTTCAGAAAGTGAAGGCTTTGGGGAAAAGAGGGCATTAGGGATAAAATGAAACAAAACAAAAGGGTTTGAGGCAAAGTTAATACTTCATCTTCCTTTGGCATCAATATTAGGAGGGTTGGGTTAAGAAAGAGTGGCAGTTTCTTGCCTTCTCCAGACTGTAGGGCAAAAAAGGCATCTTCAACTATCCCGAGAACCTGGTGAGTGGGAGCAGCGAGTAGGTTGCAAAGACTGAGGCCCTATCTACACTGCCATATAAAATCCAGGTTATCTGATTTGAACTGGATTTTCTGGTAGTGTAGACTCATATAATCCAGTTCAAATCAGATAATCTGGATTATATGGCAGTGTAGAAGAATACAAAGAGAAACTTGGTTAATCAGCCAGACCACTAACTGTAAACCAATTGAATAATGACTTGACATGGAGACGCTCACGATAATGTTTTAAGGCTTTGTACGGTTTTTTAATATATATACTCTTATAGTGTATGCTAATGTTTTTTAACAGTGTTTTATTATTGTTTTACTTGTTATAATTGTTGAGGCATCAAATTGTTGCCAGTTGTGAACCACTCCAAGTTGCCACTGGGCTGAGACGGGCAGTATATAAATGTGGTAAATAAATAATAAACCCTTACAAGTACATCTCCAGGGGTTCCTTGATGAAACAGAGGTGTGGTATAAATTGAATGAGAGAATTAATGAACAATACAGGTTGAGTATCCCTTATCCAGAAATCCAAAATGTTCCAAAATCTGATTTGTCCACATTGGTAGCTGAGAGAGTGATAGCGTTGTTTTTTTGATGGTTCAGTGTACACAACCTTTGTGTGCAAGTTGTATAAGCAATATAAGCAAACTTCATGATTAGATATGGAACCCATCTACATGTAAATACTACAGAAACTGAAAAAATCTAAACAATTATGGGTCTAAACATTTTGGATAAGAGGTACTTATTATGTGTTGAAAGCAGAGGGGCAGGAAAGCACAATGCAGTTGCTCTTTGTTTATTTCTCTTTTTCCCATTTCTGGATATGTGCCTTAAGAAAGCACCCTCCCTAAATGAGAAATATAAATAACATATATGCATTTACTTGCAGGATTATCATGATCACATAGCAGAAATTTCAGCAAAGCTTGTAGCCATAATGGATAGTTTATTTGACAAGCTGCTCTCGAAGGTAATGTTTTGCAGAATGCTCTTACTAACTTGCAATTTTTTTCATTTTGAGGACATTTACAATAGTGATATGAGATGTTGTTGAAGGCTTTCATGGCCAGAATCACTGGGTTGCTGTGAGTTTTCTGGGCTGTATGGCCATGTTCCAGAAGCATTCCCTTCTGACATTTCGCCCACATCTATGGCAGGCATCCTCAGAGGTTGAGAGGTCTGTTGGAAACTTGGTAAGCACCCAGACACGAATCCAGGAACATGAAAGGCACTGCAGACTAACTCAACCTGAGAAGTCAGCCATAGCAGAGCACTTGATGAACCAACTTGGACACAGCATATTATTTGAGAACACAGAAATGCTGGACCACTCTAACAACCACCATGTCAGATTACACAGAGAAGCCACTGAAATCCACAAATATGTGGACAATTTCAGCAGAAAGGAGAAAACCATTAAAATGAACAAAATCTGGCTAACAGTATTAAAAAAAACCTCTAAAATCAGGATAGTAAATAAAGAACAACACTCTGAATACAGGGGAATTCCTGACATGAAACAATCAAGGCCAGCTAACACCTCCCAACAAAGGATTCCCCCAGGCAGGAAACAGCCGGGCTTTGAAGCTGCCAAGCCATTCAGTGCTAATCAAGGTGGCCAATTGCAACATTCATACTTGCCTTCAGCAGACAAGAGTCATTTCTCCCACACTGGACATTCCATGGATATATAAACCCCATTTGCCTAGTTTCCAACGGGCCTCTCAACCTCTGAGGATGCCTGCCATAGATGTGGGCAAAATGTCAGGAGAGAATGCTTCTGGAACATGGCCATACAGCCCAGAAAACTCACAGCAACCCAGATAGGATATATATTTTCCTTCTTCAGATGTATGAAGTGCTAGACGTTTTTAAATTATCAGTTTATGCATTTTATGCATACAACATAATAATTTGTTTCATTACATTTGTTACACTAGCATTGCAGTCTTACACATGCGTCACACCAGGAAATTTGACCAGTCAGTAGCCACCACAGTCTATATTTGTCAATTTAATTAGGAAAGGACAAAAACAATTCTGAAAACACACTTTATCTCCACGATTGTTGTATCCCGAAGTTGTATAATAAATCTGCCAATGTGCTGTTGTACAGCCCCCCTTTTGTGTTCAGTTGTGTTTAGTTATACAGTGTACATAAGATTGCTATAATAATGTATTTTGCTGTCTTATTCAGGAAGTAAATCTGTATTCTGTGTAGAAGCTGCATTTGCAGTTATTATTTTTAAGTGGGTCGGGTAAACTTGCTTTTAAAAAAATTGTGTGGAAAAGATACCATCTTCATTTTAGGTTTGTGCATGGCAATTATTATATTATACAAAGTCAACATGTTAACTTTTTTTCATTGTGTCTTTTAAGCCTTTTTGGGGGGTTATTTGGGGTGCTGATTCAGGAAATTGCATCGGATAGACTGAAACAGCTCTAGTTTCTTAGCTATGGCTATAATGATTATTTATGGGAGAGCAGAAAAAGGCCAGTATATGTTTTATATCTCAAAAACAAGAGCTGATAGGAGGAAACTGGTTCCATTTTTGGCATCAGCAAGTCAAATACATCCTGAAACGGGACTAACACTTGGGGCATAAAAATGGGTGTTGCCCAGTGTTATTTAACACCACATTTACAAATAAGTAGCTTGAGCAATGAACAGGAAAATAATATTAACAAGTGTTTGCTTTTAATCAGAACTTTCCTCACTGTGATCTAAATCCAGTTGATAGTCTTAGCTAGAGTAGATGGTTATCAGTCATAAACCGGTAAACCAGCACTGGCATTAGTTCCATTGATTCGGTAGTCTGCTTTAGATAGGTGTAGTTTTGATTTAAGGCCTGTGTAAAGAAAAGGAAATTGCTGAAATTTATCTGACCAGGTCAATACTCCATTTCTTGTCTGTGTTCCCAGTATGAAGTGAAGGCACCTGTTCCTTCTACGTGCTTCAGGAACATATGTAAACAGATGGCAAAGATGCATGAGGCAATATATGACCTTCTTCCGGAGGAGCAAACACAGGTGAGCCTTTTGGGGTGGGTTGCTTTTTTCCTGCTGGTCAAGCGTTGTGAACTCCTAGTCGTGTGGCTGGAAAGACTGCTTGAAGCATATTTTTGCCTTTTCCCGCCAAAGCTGTACCTATTTATCTAGTCACATTTGCATGTTTTCGAACGACTACGTTGGCAAGAGCTAGGGCTAACAGCAGGAGGTCACCCCATCCCGCGGATTTGAACTGCCTACCTTCAGGTCAGCAATTCAGCAGCACAAGGATTTAACCCATTGCCCCACTGCGACCCTCTTAAGTATTGGCCTAGCAGTTACTCTTGAGTAGAATTCAGCCTTGATACTAACTAACCTGCAACTTGTAACACTAGATTGATGAAAACAGGACAGAACATGGGAAGGCACCAGGACTGTAGTGCAGCTGGCTGGGAGTCAGCTGCATTAAGATCACTACTGACCATAGGTCATGAGTTCGAAGCCAGCCCTGGTCAGAGTGAGCTTCCGACCAATTTGTGTAGCTTGTTGTCGACCTTTGCCGCCCAAAAGATAGTTCCATCTGTCAAGTAGGAAATTTAGGTACCACTTATGTGGGGAGGCTAATTTAACTAATTTACGAGGCCATAAACATCTCCAGCAAGCATGCAAAGAATGAGGAAGTACTTCATCAGTGTCACAAATGGCCGGTGAAGCGACAGCTCCCCTGGTGGCCAGAATACCCTCATGAAAAGCTGTATATTTAATTGCCGCTGTGTCTGTCTATATATGTTGTGTGTTTATGGTATTGAATGTTTGCTATGTACAGTATGTGTACATTGTAATCTGCCCTGAGTCCCATGCAGGGTGAAAAAGGCAGAATATAAATACTGTAAAATAAATAAATAAATAAATAAATAAATAAATAAATAAGGCCGTTGCTCTGAATTAGAAATAGAGATTCAGGAAAATTCTCTGTTACGGAATCTTATAAAAAGAAAGAAACAAAACAAATGTGTCTGGTCATGCTACCATCCCCTCCCTTTTCCCTTTTTAACTATAAATTCCTTAACTCATTAAAAATCTACTTTGAATGTTGGTCTGTTATCTTTGTAACACTGCTCGGGGCTAGCTCAGTTATTGGCACCTGTATGCTGAAAACCAGTTTTATATAACATCCCTAAAATGGTTCTGAATTTGCAACACGTCTGCAATAGCTGTGTGCTCTTAGTACAGATGGTGTGGGGCATAAAGATGTCCCACATTTTGAAAGGGTATAACAAATGCCCCCTTATGGTGCAGGAGGTTGAGCTGCTGAACTTGCTGACTGAAAGGTTGGCGGTTCGAATTTGGGGAGTGGGATGAGCTCCCGCTGTTAGGCCCAGCTTCTGTCAATGTAGCAGTTCGAAAACATGCAAATGTGAGTAGATCAAGAGGTGGAAAGGTAATGGTGCTCCATGCAATCATGCAGGCCACATGACTTTGGAGATGTCTACGGACAACGCCAGCTCTTTGGCTTAGAAATGGAGATGAGCACCACCCCCCAGAGTTGGACACGACTAGATTTATTGTCAAGGGGAAACCTTTACCTTTACTATAACAAATGAAAGAAGATATCTATTTTAAAATGGAATATATTTTTGAAAGGTACATAAAATCAGTTTTGTTTTAATAGGCTTTGAAAATCATATCACACCAAATCATTTTGTAAGGATGCAGTTTCAAATCGGAAAGCAGAATCCTCCTCAAACTCCAACTGGTACCCGAGAGAAAAGAAATAATTGATACTGGGGAACATATGTGCATATTGAATGTACAAAAGCTTCTGTTTAGCTTTGTGATCCTGGGAATTATTCCAAGGAGCCAATATTTATGCTGGGATCCTTAGTTTCTGTGCTGATAAGAATGCACTGTGGTTTGTAATGAGATGGTGCCTTAAACTAGAACGGTGGGATTGAGTTCGTTTGAATAAAATAAACATTTGTAACACCTTTTAATTATTTCACCCTCTAGATGTTATTTTTACGAATTAATGCAAGCTACAAACTTCATTTGAAGAGGCAGTTGGCCCATTTAAATGTAGTCAACGATGGAGGACCTCAAAATGGGTATGTGACACAATTTTTCAAGCGCTGGGGTTTAGTGTTCTTGTGTTTGATCAAATTTTCTGTTGCAAGATCAAAACGACAGGACTGCAAAATGCAAAGTGAATTCTGCACTGGAACTAGACTATTGAATTAAAAACTATGGATTAATTTTATTTGGCAAGCTTATGTCTGCAGTAGATGATTTAAAAAAAGATGGAAGAGAGGTAGAGAGAATGGACACAGATAACATGCATCCAAATTGTGCATTGGTGTTTAGACAAGAAAACTGGATCACAGAAATTTTAGTAAATCCAGATTTTATCTTTTAAGAAAATTTTATTTATTTATTTATTATTTAAACTTATATGCCGCCACTCCCCTGGTGCTCGGAGTGGCTTACAAGAATAGCTAAAATCTAACAAAATTTAAAAGCAATTTAAAACAATTTAAAAACAACAATATCAAACATTAAAAGCCTGTCGAAACAGGTATGTCTTACATGCCCTGCGGAAAGCTGGTAAGTCCCACAAGGCACGGACTTCAGGTGGCAGAGTATTCCAGAGTGATGGTGCCACTGCTGTGAAGGCTCTGCATCTGGTTGCTGTTAGACGCAAGGTCTTGACACTGGGGACTTCCAATAGATCTTGGTTCTCAGAACGGAGGGATCTCTGGGGTTGGTAGGGGGTGAGGCGGTCCCTCAGATACATCGGCCCCAGACCATGCAAGGCCTTAAAGGTGAGTACCATCACTTTGAAAGTGATCCGGTGCTCAATTGGTAACCAATGCAGCTGTAGTAAGATTGGTGTTATGTGGCATCTCATCGGAATTCCCGCAAGAAGCCGAGCAGCTGCATTTTGTTCCAACTTGAGCTTCCGGATCACCGACAGAGGAAGGACAATGTAGAGGGCGTTACAGTAGTCCAGTCTTGAGATGACCGTGGCCTGGATCACCGTAGCTAGGTCGTCCCTGGACAGGTAGGGGGCCAGCCGTCTAGCCTGCCGCAGATGAAAGAAGGCGGTTCTGCTAACGGCGGAGACCTGGGCCTCCATCGTCAGCAGAGGGTCCAAAAGGACTCCCAGACTCTTTACCAATGATGACGGGCGTAGCGCCTCGCCATCCAGGGTAGGCAGCTGGATACCCCACTGCCCGGTCGACCCAGCCATAGGATCTCCGTCTTTGCTGGATTCACCCTCAACCTGCTGGCACGCAGCCATCCAGTAACGGCCTCGAGGCACTGATGGAAACAATCGGGTACAGAGTCCGGTCGGCCTTCCATCTTCAGCACCAGCTGAGTGTCATCAACGTACTGGTAACACTCAAGCCCAAAACCTCGAACCAGCTGAGCAAGTGTATATAAATGTTAAACAACAGAGGGGAGAGAATGTCAAGAATCAGGAACATATATAAGTACTTTGGTAAGGAGATAATAATAATAATAATAATAATAATAATAATAATAATAATACTTTATTTATACCCCGCTATCATCTCCCCAAGGGACTCGGTGCGGCTTACATGAGACCGGGCCCACAGTATATCAATAAACAAAAGCAATAACAAAACAATCAATACAATTAATATAAACCACATAACAATAAACCATAAACAGTTACACACAAGCATTTAAAAAACCTATGGCCGGGCCAAATGTAATAGTTTAAAATTTAAAAAATAACACTGGGCATGAACAGGGTTTTCAAGAGAGATGAGGGAATGCAGTCAGTCCTAAATCAATGGTAAAGTGCATTTTGAGGGCATATTGCTGAGAATTTTCCTTATTCTGGGAAGGCACACTGGAACAACCATGTTTTCAGACTCCTACTAAAGACTGCCAGAGTTGGAGCCTGTCTGATGTCCTTGGGGAGTGAGTTCCAGAGTCGGGGGGGCCACCACTGAGAAGGCCCTCTCCTTCGTCCCCACCAATCGCGCCTGCAAAGGAGGTGGGAACGCGAGCAGGGCCTCTCCAGATGATCGAAGAGATTGTGTGGGTTCGTACACAGACATGCGGTCACGCAGGTAGGCGGGCCCCAAACCGTTCAGGGCTTTGTAGGTAAGAACCTGCACCTTGAATTGGGACTGGAAGATGAACGGCAGACAATGGAGCTCCTTAAACATCCATTTAATAAAGTGTTTTTTTAGAAAACCCATTTTGCTTCTGCTTCATGCCTGATACATTTGAAGGCTAAACCTGACCTCATTTGGGGGGAAAATGAGATGAAAAACTGTTAAGTAGCTTGAATATTCATACACTAGGCTTTTTTTCTGTGGCACTCAAGACTACAACATAATTCACAAGCAGGAAGCCAGCAGTGTCTAATCTAGTGTGGGTGAAGGATGGATACAATAATTCTTTATTTTTGATCCCACTAGGTTGGTTACAGCAGATGTAGCATTTTACACTGGAAACCTCCAAGCTTTGAAAGGGCTTCAAACACTGGACTTAAATATGGCAGAAATCTGGGAACAGAAAAGGTGATAATCCCGCAAGAATTCTCTCTTCTCACGGGATGCTGGCTTCTTCCTAGAAGATAAATATGTGGGACCCAGAAGAACAGACTCTTGAAATGGGGTGGAAATTACCTACAGAACTGACTTTGGGACCGAGTCCTTTAAGGAAGGAAAATATCAGATTCTTGTGCATTTTTTCTCGTTTTCTCTGGAACAGGCTCAGGTTTCTTTGGACCAAATCCAAAAGAATACATAGCTGTAACACAGCTGTTGTTGTCTAGAGAGTGCTCTGTAAATCTTTATATTAAAAGGATGCTTTGCATTTCCTCTAGTACAATGGAATTTTAATGGTGTCTCACCTTTATTTAATGATGATGGTACAGTTTGGAAATTCTTGCTGTTGAATTCTATGAAAATGTTTTCACTATAAATACTGTTAAATTATTTTTTTACAGATGTTTCTATAAAGTCTCAATTACCTACACAGCTTCAGATTTGTTAGGGTGCATTTGTTCCACGTGCTGCCACCAGAGGGCAGTGTTTTCATTACGTCTCAGATTTTGAAAGTGCCGCTCTTCACATAAAGCATGCCAGACATGATCGTTTGAAGTATTTTTATTATGGTAATCAAGGATCGGTAATTTTAACTTTTGAACACTTCTTAGCCCTTTCCATGGACTATCAACTTTCCAGTTTCCACGTAACTCTTACCTCCTATTACACTGTTCAACGGAGAAAAAGTTGCTGGCCTGAAAATAGTTGTTCTTTTATGATTTTGGGGTGCTGAAAACGAAAATGACATTTAAAAATGTAGATTGGCTCTAGTTTTTATGATATAAGCAATCACGTGATCA